GTGAACGCCATTACTGGATCTGAAAAATATTTAAAAAATCCTTAGCATTACAAAAAACTTAATGAAGTTAGCTTTAAAATGGTACCAGTTTCATCTTACTATCATTTATAGTTCAGCAGATATGAGGACTTGAAATGTTCCCAAAACTTCTGCAACACCCGATATAATCTATCAGCAGGAACCTAAATTCCTTTATATACAACTAAAGGCTTTGGCCATAAATAAAATCCAACTCCGGCCCAGACTCCTTATAAAAACAGGACGTCCACTTAAGCAGCTTCTTAAGTTTTCACCGACTGCTATCTAAACTAAAATCAAAACCCCTATTCCGAGACAGTCAGTCTAGAGCTGGGGAAGGCTAGTATATGGTTGAGCGGGTTTGAAATAGACTATACCCACATGAGGTCATTTTGTAGTTTTTGCTGTATAAAACATATGCTCCGTTATAATAAATATATTGAGCTTTGTCTGTGGATCAGTTTTAAGATCTAACATTACTAGGAGCCACCTGGATTATATACCAACAGATCTATTACCTGTACTATATATATATATATATATAGAGAGAGAGAGAGAGAAATTATTATGAGGATTTGATAATTATATTTAATTAATTCGAGTCTGATAGAAACCTCAACAGAATGCAGAAAGCACTGGACGGCTGTTTCGTCCTATATTTGGGACTCATCAGCAGTGCGCATCCACTACCGAGAATTGAAACCCTGATAGTTAGGTTGTCAAGCAAACATCATACGAACTGTTCCAATGGGCCTCGGGGACGAAGAGATTGCAAATCAGACTCAACAAAGTGCCGCTCGCTCACATGAATGATGAATTAATATTACTATTAAATATTATCTTAGAATACAATCTTTGTTATATATATATATATAACAAAGATTGTATTTCTACAAGATAATATTTTAAAGACAGACGTCTTTGTAATTACAAAGCTCAATAGCAAGAGGTAGGGTAACAAGTAACATTAAATGTTCACTTATCTGTATTTACTCTGAGTTTCAAGGACATTATAGTCTGAAATAGACTCTGTACACATGAGGTAATTTTTTGGATGTTTTACTATATAAAATATATGCTCTGTTATAATAAATACATTGAGCTCTCTCTGTGGATTAGTTTTAATATCTGATATTACTTGGATACAACTGCATTATACACCAACGGATGTATTGCCTGTGCTATATATATATATATATATATATATATATATATATATATATTACGCAACAAAATCCAAAATTACCTCATATGGAGTGAATAGATCTATCTCAGCCAACGCGAAGTACGTTGGTCTTATTCAACTCCTGTGGACGAACTGTGCTCGTGTCGGAGTTAGGGATTTAAAATTTAACTTTGACAGCAGTCCAAAAATAGGCGTCGATATGGGAAGGTTCTGTTATTGGCTGAAATAGATCTATACCCACCCCACACTATATGAGGTAATTTTGGATTTTGTTGCGTAATTTATAAATACTTTGAACTCGATTTGTTTTAATATTTGATATTTTTAGCATCCACCTGATTATGTGCCAACGGATTTATTACCTGTACGATATATATATATATATATATATATATATATATATATATATATATATATATAAAAATACAGTAGCAAAACTGTAATAGTTGCCGAAGCGTTCCGTCCAATGTGGACCATTTCAAGGTAAAAACGAAATGAATTTATTAAACAAAGTGACTAATAATAGCAAAACAAAATATCCTTAGTAACTGGGAGAATTTAGAGAACGCTATTTCCATACTGTTAACTGAAAATTACGTCAATTACTATCACGTGTGGAGATATTGTTATTATTGATGTGTTAACGGATTCAATCATTTTCTTTTGATTTCACGATATTGTTGTGCACGTTTGTTTGGGAGTGTAGTTATTTTCTTTCTTTCTTTTAGGAAGGTTTCGAATGATGTCAAACTTAAATAATTCACTGAGAAGGAAAATCCTCGAGAGTGCCGCCATTGAATATTACCCAAATATTAAGCCTCGCCAAGGCTGTTTCCCTATTTCACCTTTCTTAATAGAATTACTACTCTCCCAAGCACACGTAAAGAGCAGTATCAAGAAATCAAAAGAAAACGGTTTAATCCGCCAACACAACAATAAAAACAACATCTCCACACGTGACAGTAAATGAGGTAATTTCAGTTAACCGTATGAAAATAGCGTTCTCTAAATTCTTCCAGTTGCTAAGGACATTTTGTTTTTTTGTTATTATTAGTTACTTTGTTTAATAAATTCGCTTTGAAATTACAGTTTTCCTATTGTCTTATACATTTATAAATATTGTCTTTTTCTACAGGTTAACTCTGAGAAAGTTTTCATATCTATCTATATATATATATATATATATATGTACATCTGTGTGTGTGCGTGTGTGTGTGCGCGCACGCGTGTGTATACTTGTATGTGTATGCATTTATTGTTGTGTTTTTAGGCAAAAAGCCTTCATTTATACATGTTTCATTAAGGACGACAGACAAGCTACTACAATTAAGCTTTTTATTTAATTTTTCATGTATTCCAACAAGTGTTTTCTTTTCTGGACACAGATTGTATAGAAACTGTCCAAATGTTCTAGAGTTCCGAGCGCTTTCGGCCATACATTTAGCCATTCTCAAGGATGATTGTATTTTTGCTTTTTAACTGGGTGTATGGGTTGTATGTGTTTCTATAGTTATAAGGATGTTTTATTTTTCGAATACAATTAGCATATTGTGGCCGTGTATTCTGTGGGTATTTTAGAAATTCAATGTGTTTGAACGGGCCTCGGCGACAGAGATGGGTTAGCAACCCAAGTAGACTGATATACTAAGAAACAAAGAGCCAGTTAGTATGTATGTATATAAAGAAGCGAGGTAGTTAGGTAGGTAAGAGGGTAGGTAGGTTTGTTAGGTAGGCAGGTAAATATTCTCTGGTTTTTACCATATACTTAATATTTTAATTCCCTTTTTAGGGTCTTCCCTCTCGTCTATAGGCATATTTTTTCTTTATCCATGTCGAATCTCTGTAACCGTGATAGTCTGTTTATTTCTTGTTTTCAAATTCTTGCTTTTTTAGATTCTCCCTTTCTTTCTCTTTTGTCTCTCCCTCTCTCTCCCCACCCTCTCTCTCCCCAACCTCTCTCCCCTCTCTCTTCTCTCTCTCTCTCCACCCTCTCTCTCTCTTCTCTCTCCCACCCCCTCTCTCCCTCTCTCTCTCTCCCTCTCTCCCCTTCCTCTCTCTCTCTCCACCCTTCTCCTCTCTCTCTTTTCCTCTCTCCTCTCCTTTCCTCTCTCTCCCCTCTCCTTCCTCTCTCTCCCCCTCTCTCTCCTCTCTCTCCCCTCTCTCCCCCTCTCTCCCCCCCTCTCCCTCTCTCTCTCTCTCTCTCTCTCTCTCTTTCTCTATTTTATATTTTATACACCTCTTTTTCCACTACTGATGAGATGTAAATTTCACTCGAGCAGCTTCTTCCCACGAAACGCTACTTTGTGTAACCGACTCCCAAGAGGATGCTTCCTCGATCGCCACAATGTTAACCTGTTCAAGTCCTGGTCAAGCGCTATCTTCCTCACATACCGCATTAACAATGTCTCTTACTCTGTAACCCTGTACCTCGAGTGGCTCTCGGGCCTTGCACAGAGTGAACATCACTGTAAAAAAAAAAAAAAGAAACACATGGGTTTGAGCACACAAGCCGATTCACTCGACTTTTATTTTTCTACATCTCTTCCTTCACTTTTCCAGTTTTTTCCCCCTGCTTGTTTCGTTTTGTCATTCGCGATGACCTGATGTCCAGTGGTCAGTTCGAAGACAATTTGTTTGCTTCAAAGTAATTGAAAGACGGATGGACAAGGATTAGTTGACACCGATGGTAGCGGCCGGCATAGGAACGCGACGTCGTTATCCCTTGATCAACTGCCTTAAGCTTACATCCCACTCTGACCACTGACCATTGTCCATCATGGTCCCGATGCCGAAGTAATGCAATCAGCGTCCTCACTACTATTTTTATTGCCTCAGCATTCACTTGTTCCACTAGATTATTTAACACCAGTATTCTGCGCATATATAGAAATATATATATATAGAGAGAGAGAGACAGACAGAGACAGAGATAGAGATACAGAGACAGACAGAAACAGACAGACATAGGGAAAGAGAGGGAGAGAGAGGGATTGCTTTACCTATTCGTGGCTGGAATAGTTTCAAATATCGTACCAATAAAAAAAGAGTTGTTTTTTGCTGCAAGGATTTCGATGTGAATTTTAATGCCAGTCATGTCCTCGCCAGTAAAATTGGAATAAATATATTCATTGTTGGCTATTTTCATGAAATTGCCACTGGATTTGAGTAAGCTGTGTGTGTAATATATATATATATATATATATATATATATATATATATATATATATATATGTGTGTGTGTGTGTGTGTGTGTGTGTGTGTGTGTGTGAATATATATGTGCGTGTATGTTTTTTGTGTGTGTGTGTGTGTGTGTGCGCGCGCGTGTGTGTGTGTGGGGAGGGAGAGAGAGAGAGAGAGAGAGAGAGAGTTAAAAAGGGAAACTTATTAAAGAAATAACACCCAAATACAAATTGGCAAATATTCTATAATCACAATGAGGAAAATTTTTCCCATATTTATATCATACTTTAAAACTATATTTTATTATATATATATATATATATATATATATATATATAGAGAGAGAGAGAGAGAGAAAGATATATATATATAGATAGATAGATAGATAGATAGATAGATAGATAGATAGATAGATAGAAATAAAGAAAATTAGACAGAGAGTGGGCCCTAATACAAATTGGCAAATATTCTATAATCACAATGAGGAAAATTTTTTCCCATATTTATATCATACCTTAAAACTATATTTTATTATAGATAGATAGATAGATAGAGAGAGAGAGAGAGAGAGAGAGAGAGAGAGAGAGAAAGAGAAAATTAGATAGAGAGTGGACCCTAATACAAATTGGCAAATCTTCTATAATCACAATGTGGAAAATTTAATAACAAAAGCGTTAGTAAAAAAATTATTTAAAAATTTAAAAAATAATAAATGAAATCGGTTATAGCCTATATACCGAAAAAGAAGCGCACTCCCACTTTGCCATCCCTACCCAGGCCCGATTCGCCGGTGGTGTCACGGATAACGGCAAGAAATGAGAAAATTGGAGAGCAGAATTTGAATTCCATTCGAATTCGTTATATTCATTAGGTGAATATACACGAAAGGTTTGAAGCCATCTCTTCTCACTCCAGCTATGGGTCAAATAGCTTCGGTTGGCAATCAGTCCACCGCTGATAGTAACGACGGCCTACTCTACGAACTTCTTCTACCAAGACAGTCATGAATTGAAAAGTGATATAATTATCCAATCTTTTCACTTAAGGAGGATTATACGTATTATTATATTGTTGCATTATTATTATTATTATATTTAGATTTCTGCTATAGTCACACTAACTACCAAGTCTGCTTAATGACCTATAGCAGTAGATAGTGGTGTCATGTTATGGCTACATTTCATGATTTGTTTTTCTAACTCCCATAAAATCACATGGACAAAGTTCTTCTTAGCGTGTGGGGTGTACTTATTAAGACATTTTTTGTATTTATCTTATGCTGGGATTTCCAGGGAATTTTTTTCAATATGTAGTTGTGTTCTTTTTTTATCATTCCAAGAGCACCTACTATTATTGTTTTCAATTTCCACATTTTTTCTATTTCGATTTCCAGTTCTTTATACTTTTTCAAATTCCTTGGTTACTATTTCCACTGGGCAAGCCACATCAATTTGTAGACAGGTTTTTCTTTTTCGGTTTTTGACAATTATGTCCGGCCTATTTGCTACAATCTTCCTACCTGTAAAGATGATGTAATCCTATCTCTTCTATTTCTGTAACCGGTCCAGCGTTTGTCAACATCTTTTCCAAAATGTTTACACATTGTCCAGTGGAAATATTGGTACACACTATCGTGACTATCTTTAGAATCATTTCGCGCAAATAGAGAACATCCTGAAATTAAATGGTCTATGGTTTCCTGATATATGTCACATATTATTATTATTATTATTATTATTATTATTATTATTATTATTATTTCCATATATATATATATATATTGTGTATGTATGTATATAATAATAATAACGGATTCTCCCGTCGGTTTCGATGTATGAGGATCTGACAATTTAGTTGATTCAGTTATGAAATTTTGTGCGATAATCTTAAGTGGCATTTAAGACCCGCTAATGATTTACAAAGAAGGCCACATATGGAACAAGAGGGAGGGTAGTGAGATTAGATCACTGTTAGATTGGCTGACTTTTTAGATCTTGCCCTCGCTTCTTGAAGGTGATTCAAACAAGCAGATTGAAAACTTCTGAGTCCACTAAAAATAGGTTGATCTCCATTCTACCCGGTCCAAGGCTAAGCGCTCAAGGGTGTTATGTGGTTTATTGACAGCTGACAATGTATATATATATATATATATATATATATATATATATATATATATATATATATATGCACATATGTATCTGTACACATGTTTGTATATACATCTATGCATGTTTATACACACCCACCCACACCCACAAACACACACACACAAATATATATATATATATATATATATATATATATATATATATATTAGTAAAATTCATAGTACCTACGCCGCCAGTACGACCTGAAGATTGCATTAGCATGAAACCCGTTTCATACTGGCGGTACTATGAAATTTTGCTATATATATATATATATATATATATATATATATATATACACTTACACACATCATACTCACTCACTCCCTAATGAGCCAAATAATAACACACACCCACAGCAATACACACGTTTACACATATCATACTCACTCACTCCCTAAGAACCAAATAACACACACACAAACACTAAACAGAGACACATCCCCTCTCCAGGAACCGATAAAACTGTCAAACTGACCAAGGGAATTCAGAGCAGCATGGATCCATCTAGCTCTTATCTCAAATAACAACTTAAAAGAGACTGTTTGACCAACACAAGGAATGTTAAAAGATTCATGTTAAAAAGATAAAAAAAAACAATGAAAACTACAGACAAAAGTTCATTTTCTCCAACAAAAGTAGTTTACTGTAGTTTACTGCTACCAGCAAGCAGAAATATTTCTCCTGCTGATGATGGCCATTTTGGTCGAAACTAGTCGAGGAATCTAAATGAAATAATAATAGAAAAAACGAAAGAATATTAATCTACAACCCAGTGTGTCTAAAGATTTTAATTTTTTAATTTATTTATTGTTCAATATATATATATATATATATATATATATATATATATATATATATATATTTGTTATTATTTTTTAATTTATTTCAATTATTTCTCTTAATTTATTTCTATTCTTAATTTTTTAATTATATTTTTAAATTGTTTCTTTTTCATTTTTTCATATATTAACTTTTTTTTTCTTTATTCGTATTCCTCATTTTTTTCTATTTTCTTAAAAAAAACAAATAGTAATTTTTCTTTTAAATGGTTTATTATTTAAGTATATATATATATATGTGTGTGTGTGTGTGTGTGTGTGTGTGTGTAAATATATTTAAACGGAACGCTGATCTTATAAAAGATTTCAGTTATCTGTTTGGATTGGTATTGCTTTTTATGTCCATCGTCTTTTTTCATGTTGAATTGTATATGGTCTATGTTAATTATGTTTTATGAATATGTCCTGAAGATGGTCTATTAGATCGAAACGTCCGACGTTGACATTAAACATTAAAACAGCCTAATCGCATATTAGGATTTTTGTTTGTTTTTCAGTATATTTTCCTTCATATATATATATATATATATATATATATATATATATATATATATATATATATATATTTATATATATATATATATAATAATAGTATTATATACTAATATAGTATAATGATTGCATAGTATTTAATAATAATAATTAGAATAATATAATAATATTGTTTAATAATAACATTTTAATAATATAATGATAATGTTATTGGTGGTAGTTATTCAGTAATATTTAATAATACGACTTAATAATTGTATTATTTAATATAGTAATTTTATTTAATATAATATTATTTAATATTGATATATTTAATAATATAATAATATTATTTAATATAATATTTGGTACCAGCGCGGCTGCAGGAGTTGCCGGAAGGTACCACTAAGTGCCGTCCATCCGCCTTAGGGGCTCAAGTCCGGGTTTGAATTCAGAGTTGTCCTTCTCCTAGACCAGTTGCCATTCAAGGCTAATGGGATAAACATAGACTAGCGACAGTGTTTTATGCTTGATTGCAATCTTCCGACCATGTGTGTTGTGTGTTGGCTCAACCATTTATATATCCTGGACGATGATGCATGATGGGTAGCAAGGTCTATTTTGTTATCGTAACGGTTATTGGTTGTCCGGTAAAGACTATGTTTCAAATTATTCTATAGGCTAGTGAGTAGGAATAATTATTGTAGTAGTAGTTCTTTGTAATTTTTATAATTTTTACAAATTATTATTTACTGATTACTTTGTGTATTTTGTATTTATTCATTCCTTATTAGTTCATTATTATCATTAGGGACATCTGAGTATTATAAATATAATGTCTTCAGCAACCGTTTTTACCAGCGCTCATATTGCAATTTTTGCTGTTATCAATTTATGTTTTTACCAGAGCTCATATTGCAATTTTTGTTGTTATTATCGCTTTTCTCGGGCACATCTTATTACTGGTTCCCATATTAGATTCATTTCTATGCTTGGTCCGCTCAGGAGATTTTTGTGGCGTAGCATATGTGCTGATTCCTTAAATTTACGAATTTTCCAATGGTGTTCCTTGTCTATGATCTCAATCTGACCCCACAGAGGGTTGTGATCTCCCTTTTCTCTCCATATGTGGTCAGCCATGTCTGATTTTTCCACTTCCCTCGTGTTACAGCTTTTTGGTGTTCTTGAAGCCTTACCTTAAGAGGACGGCCTCCCTCCTCTTTATAATTCTTTCTGCAGCTGCCTGGGATAGCGTCATGTTCTCTTCTATGGGATACTATATTATTTGTGTTGTATATTTTGCATATACATTTTCTTTATGATAATTTACAAGGTATTCGTTTTTTGTTTTCGATTTTTAAGTAAGGTATTAAGAATTTGTTTTGTCCCTGCATTTTAAGATATCGTTTATTTAGTAATTTGTCTCAGTCTGGGAAGTTGATTATAGATATTTTCTCCTCTGGGCAGAATTTATATTTTTGGGTATTTATTGCTTTAAGCTGAATCTGTTTTCATTATTTTCAATCATATTTTTTGTGTAATTTGGTTTTTGATTTTTTAATTTCCCATACATGTGCTGTTCGTGTATTTGGTATTTGTAAAAGATAGTTTGTGTGCGTAGTTTCTGTTTCTAGGATCCTTCAATTACTCTTATGTATACTTTCTCTTCATTATCTGCTGGATTTACACAGTCGCTTAGTATACTATACTGTTTTGCAAGCAATTGCCATTTAAGGGGAATTCGTTCTTTGCTCTGCAATTAGAGTCAGGTTTGATTTGTTAACTTCTATTCATTATTTACTGATTTCTTAGTGTATTTTGTATTTATTCATTCGTTATTTGTCGTTGATAATCATTTTTATACTTACTTGTGTTTATGTGTTCATTAGTAGTTTGTTAATTTGTTTATTATTTACTTAATTTTGTTTATTTACCTATTTCAATTGTTTTTGTTTTTCGTTTCGAGGGTTGGTTAATTTATTTATTTAATTTAAAGTATTCACTTTGTCTAAAGTATGTCACATTATCGGAGTTATATATAGAGCATATATTTGCATATTTTACAAGGTATTCGTTTTTAGCTTTCGTTATTTAATTAACTTAATAAATATTTATTTTCGTATCTGCATTTTGTGATAAGTTCTGATCATTTGGT